CCTTCTTCTTCCCCCAGCTTTAGATGCTGAGCATGATGTCATACAGTATGGAATATCCCTTTGGCCAGTTGGAGTCAGCTGTCCCAGCTCTGTCCCCTCCCAACTTCTTGTGCACCCCCAGCCTGCTCGCTGGTGGGGTGGTGTGAGAAGCAGAAAAGGCCTTGACTCTGTGCAAGCACTGCTCAGCAATAACAAAAACATCCCTGTATTATCAACACTGTTTTCAGCACAAATCCAAAACATAGCCCCATACCAGCTACTATGAAGAAAATTAACTTTACCCCAGCCAAAACCAGCACACTTGCCAATACAAATACACTGTCTCATAACATGGTAATGTCTAACAAAAAAATATCTAGGAGACACAATAGTGGGAAGAAACAAATTCCAGCTATAAATATTATTGGAAAGGAAAGAGTTAACAATATGGTTGTTTATCCTGAAGGCATCTTTCATATTCTTCCTGTTCAGACTGTCAGTGATCAAGAAAACCAATTTAGTACACCACATCCTGGATCTGCCATGATTTCCTTCCATCATGCACCACTTTACTGTGTATTTCAAAATGACCTTTTCAGGAGCCAAAAAACATTCTCCAGCTTCTCCCTTGTCCTCTTCCACTCTTCACCTATTTTAAGTAACCTAAGAAGAGAGAATTTCCATCATATCCCTTAAAGCAAGCATTTGGTATGCTACAGATAGCACTTGACATTCAAGCTCATTTTGCTGTGTTCTATGTTCTACTATTACGATCTTCCAGGTAAAAAAAAAACGTTGGAAACTACAGACTTCTACTATTTGTAAAATACACTTGAAATACACACCATTATTTGTAGAACAGATGCATGCATCTATGATACATGATATATCACACTGATACACAATGCTTACCATTCCAAACCCCACAGTTTCCATAGGATCCCATGCTTTGGAATCCAAAATTTCCAAAACACCTAGTTCACTCACCATTACTGTGAGCTGGTGTTTCCCAGGATAAAACTTTGCCAAATTTATTCCTATGAATGAGCAACTTGTAACATGTGATTAATGACTTCATAGTTACCTTACAGGTTTATATTGTATTTATTTCAATGGAACAACTCATATGCAGAGAAATGGCCCCCTTCCACAGTTTTCTTGGATCTTGTCAAAGTACAAAGGACGAAAACTGGAGAACAGAAGATTCAAGCTGAGGCACTTTCCTCTGAGCATTTAGAAAGATTTTCAACTCCACTTATCCAGAGTAGAGTCTGTACTTCAGCACTTCTGCAGAGTACCATGAGAAGATTTCACCCCCTTACCAAGGACACCCCTTTCATCCACCTGCTCCCTTCTTTCTCCTTGTCAGACTCCAAGAACACTATAACTGCTGCATGCCACCTGAATTATCAGGGGAGGTCAGGGTTTAGCTATTTTAAGAGCTTCCAGATTTAGGTAGCTTGTTCTGCATCCAAATGATAAAAGCAAACAGAGTAGATCTACATTATTGAATGGTGTAGTACAGAGAGGGAAGGAACAATGATTTGCTACAACACACCATGGTTCCAGGACCAAGTATCCACACGATGTCTTCAGTGGCAATGAAGTTCACCCCTATTACCAGTCCTAGGTGAGTACACTGTATGTGTAGACAGGACTGCTCAAGGACCTTGTTAACAAATTGCAAGTGGTGCTTTCTTGATGGCTTCACAGCGCATGACTTCAGCCTTAGTTTTGCTAAGAGGGAAACTGCTTTGAGCTCACCCGTGGTGCACTTGTGTGTGTACCACAAGGCTCCTAAGAACAGACGCAAGGCAAATAAGCACCAAGAGTTGCACCAGAATACTGAACTGCTAGCAAGACACAACTTTACAGGTACATGGGCAGAATTTGTCAACTGTTCTTGGTCTTGCAAGCTTTGTCAAATGATTTGGGTTTAATACATCACTTTCTCAAAGGCGCAAGTTTTGTCTAACGCTATCTGCCAGTTTATTGAACAAAATTACTAGAGACTTAAAAAGCCATTTGGTATGCCTTTTGAAGTGAAGCTTCCTACGAGCAGATACTACAGAAATCAGATCATTAGATTTCTCTCTGCAAGATTAGACCCCAGAACATGGCAAATACTTTGTAACATAAGAAAAATAATGAAATTCTAGATTCATCTATGAATACAGTTAAATTCAAGCATGG